CTCCTCCTCCTCCTCTAATCCCAAAGTTCCTACCGTTCATATAAACATGATGCTGTCGCCAAAGATGTTGATACTGTGTCCATCGTGAGCTAGTACTGTCATCATGAATTGGTGGTAAAGGTGCATGAACCTGATGACCATGTGAAGTTGGTGGTAAAGATTGTTGCTGTTGTTGTTGTTGTTGAACTTGACTCTGTTGTTGTTGTTGTTGTTGAGATTGTGATTGTGATTGTGATTGAGATTGCGATTGAGATTGTGGTTGAGATTGTTGTTGTTGTTGTTGTTGATGAGCTGGAGCAACAACGATATGTGGATGAGGTTGATGGGGTGGTGGTGGTTGATGTTGTGTTTGTGGATGATGAGCTTGATGTAACACCCCTGTTGGTACCGGTGGAGGTGCCAATTGTTGATACTCCATAGCGCAACTCGTCATTCGTTTAATTCACTCGCACATTTATCAAAACAAAATTTCGATTTTTATTATTATAATTGTTCCTACGAATAGTTTTTTTTTATTTTTTTTTTATTTTATTCTAGGTATTGTTTATTTGTTTTGTTACCGATTTGATCGAAATTATACGACGAGTAATATAAATTTGATTTGGAAAACTGATTCTCTGTTTAAATCACTTGAATTAATAATAATAATAATCTCGTAATATTCACAGAATGATATTTGATTATGTAAAAATATAGAAAGTGAGAGATAGGGAAAGAAGAATGGTAATACACAATAGTAAGTTTTAGATTGAAAGTGGAGAACACTACCGAGGCTTCGTCCTTGAACTTCCTCTGATTGCTTTCGATCGATACACACGCACATCTACAATAAATTTTATCTACATATATACATATATATATATGCATATAATTAATAAAATTTGTATAGAATACACGCGAACACTATACTTCCCACTCTCTCTCTCTCTCTCTTTCTTTCTTTTACCAAAAGTTTTCTTATTTCTTTAGTCAACAAAATATGTTAAATGTTCCAAGTATAAATCTTGTTTTTTTTTTTTTTATTTAAAAAACAATCGTTCAAACTACGAAAATAAAAATCAATTATAAATCGAATAATAAGATAAATTGTTGAAATAATTGTTCCGAATAATAAAACTGGTGAATAAAAAAAAAAAAAAAGGGTAGTTTAAGATACGAGATGATGTGATAGGAGTATATAACAAACAAAAATCCCGTGTTAGTAGTATACCGCGAATAGTATACTGATCGAAAGTGAGAACGAAGAAAGATAGAGACCCGAGACGCGAAACGACGCGCTCGGTTCGACGGTCGTCGACAAACTGGAAAGGAGCGGGGAATCCTCTTGGCAGTAGTCACACGGCTGCTAGAGTAGTAGGGTGATTTCCTTATTCGTGTCGAGTAGTTTAGTTTGTTCATAGACAACCATCATAGTACATATACATAAAAACAAAATAATGAATTCGAATGATATTAAAAGGATATCATTTTTAACATTTTTTTTTTAAATGATTTAATAATTATTATATTATTATTTGTGTCGAGTAGTTTTATTTTTCATAGACACCATAGAACGAATATATATATAGAACAAAATAACTAATTCGATTGAAATTAAAAAGGATATCATTTTTAAGATTTTTTTTAAATATTCAGTATAATAATTATATTATTATTTGTGTCGAGTAGTTTTGTTTGTTCATAGACAACATCATAGTACGAATATATATGGAACAAAATAACTAATTCGAACAGAATTAAAAAGGATATCATTTATAAGATTTTTTTTTTAAATGATTTAATAATCACTATATTATTATTTGTGTCGAGTAGTTCAGTTTGTTCATAGACAACCATCATAGTACATATATATAGAACAAAATAACTAATTTGAATGATATTAAAAAGGATATCATTTTTAACATTTTTTTTTTAAATGATTTAATAATTAATATATAATTATTTGTGTCGATTAGTTTAATTTTTCATAGACACCATAGTACGAATATATATAGAACAAAATAACTAATTTGAATGATATTAAAAAGGATATCATTTTTTACATTTTTTTTT